GTTGATGCACATAAATATAGAAGGATTTAAAAAAAAATAAATCAAAATCGATTTATATCCACCAGGTTGTATTACAAGAAACACCTACTTACAATACCTACACCTATATTTTATCTTTTATTTAATTTCTGATAATAAATGGATGTCATTCTAGATTTATCAAATAATCAATATTTATGCCGAAAAGGACAAATTTATTATTTCATTACAAACATTTGCAGATAAAAAAGGTATTCTTGTTTCTTTGATTTTGATTTTTTTCTTTGTTTGCTTTTGAAATTGTTTTTCAAAGGTTTCAGCCGCTTTTTCGGAGAATCATTGCTAGATGGCGCATGCTGTCATAGATTATTCCGTGCAATCGGTCTGATGAGAAACTGGAGAAGGAAAGGAAGGACTACGATTACGTAATCGACTGAGCAAGAATCCTTGAGGATGCCAGACACGGTTTCCGTCGAAACGTCGGAAAAACTATTCGAACTCTGGGACTACTTCTGATAATAATATAAAAATAAAATAATTCCTCAACAATAGGTACCGGCCGCGAAAGCCTAATAAGCTATTTGAAACACTTAAGTACCTAACTGGCGAAAGGATATTGGTAACAAGCGGTATTGTTGAAGCAGCATTATTTACGGAATTAATAAGTACCTAATTAAATTAGTCAATAGCAATGTTAAGTTCATTATATAAGTAAGAACAATTCTAATAAGTAATAAAGTACCAAATAATGACCCCCAATAGGTGATAAGGATTGTAAAATATTCCATAGGTACGTATCAATCAACGATGCATAACAACGGTAATAAAATATTGAAATGATTAACAATGCAAAACATTATCTTTTACTTTTATTTATCATATCTTCGAATCTATGACAGAAAACAAATAATTGTAAGGTATTTATTTTTGTTTAAACAGAACATTTTAAGTTTGTAATCTATAAAGATGTGATTTATTTGAAATACTTGCATTTAAAATGCAAATACAAAATAAAAAATACCTATTTTACGACAAAACAGTATCACTACTACAAGATATTGTGGTGTACCTATAATCCAAAATTCGTTGAATACGATTCTAAAAACTTCACTTATTAGATGAACCCAAAGCTAAAGAAACCATGGATTCCATTTCTTTCTCTTTTTACAATGTGTGAAAGATCGGAAACAAAATGAGGTTGTAAATATTTTGATATAAAATGACTGATGTTGATTTTAAATCAATAAAATTATTTGTAACCCTATTTTGGCTCTGATCTTTCACGGTAAACAAACTATTTTGGCATCAGTGTCTTTTTTCCAATTAAAAACGGGTGACAAAGGTAAATAAGGAAGCATTTAGAAGAATTATTTGAAATTGTAACATAAAGATAGAAAAGCTATATTTCANTGTTAAAGTAATAAATTCAATTTAAAGCTTTTAAGGGTGTTTCGCGTTGTTCAAAAGATTTTGAACAGCTGATATTTTCAGACGGATGCGGTTAAAAGGATCATACTCCACACGTTCACTACATTATGCATTTGTGCTGGTGTGACATAATCTGAAAGATTGCCGATAAAGAAATATGTATTTCTATATTCATTCCGTCTCCTATCACAAGGGTTATCTTCAGGATCATTACGTTGTTGATGCAGGATTTCGAACGTTGTTTCTGAACTGACTAAGAATCTCTCTTTTGTCTTCAAGGAAACGGGGAATCTCCAAAGACATCCAGCCGTTCGTAGGATTGGGTAGTGTCGGATTCCAGAAGAAGGTGTTTTCGGACTAAAACCCTTCTACCTCAGGTGGCTCGGCTCGGAGATCTTCTGACAGCTGCTTGAATATTTCAAATAGTAGCTCAATATTTGTTTGCAAACTGTGTCAAGGTGGTACCCATCTTCCTTGTTGAGAATATTCGGGTGCTTCTGGATCTTAAAAGCTTCCTCGGTGGCTTTGGCTCTCTTTGGCTGGCATCTTTGTTTGATAGAATTGAATGTCGTGACCTGTGTCCCAAACATGTTCTGCCAAGCCTGATTTGCTGTGTTGTTTCAGTTAAATGGACCTCTCATGTTCTTTTATTCTCGTTTCGATGGATATATCTGTTTCCCCGATGTAGACATGTACACCTTTCCACAGGAGTGTGGAATCCGATAGACTCCCTTAGATTCCATAGGAACAATATCCTTCACTCTGGAAAGCTCGTTCTTACGTTTACCAGAAGTGTTGATTATCGTCTTGACGCCTTTCTTTTGCAGAACTCGATCAATTTTATCCGTGACTCCTTTAAAGAATGGCAGATATGCTGTGAAGTTTGACTCTTCTTCAGTAGTCTTAAGTGCCTCTCTTCGGGGTTGTCGATATTTCCGTATTGTACAATTCATATCACACCTCCAGTACTCCTTACTGATAAGTGTGTCAGTGTCAAAACGAAGTTTCTTGTCCAAAGGTTTTGGTTTTTAAATAGTGAAGGAGTTCATCACTAACTGTGAATGATGAGAGTTGGCATTGAGATATCTGTTGATATGGGTGGCCCTCCGGTAGACAGTGTCCTAAGGTGCCATCTGACCGACAGGATAGCATAACATCTAGGAAGGTTAATTTTCCTTAGAGGTCCCGCTCCATTGTAGACTTGATGTTTGGATAATGTGAGTTGATAATTTGTAGGAACTCTCTAGTTTCTTAGCTTCGTGCTGCCCTATCACGAAAGTGTCGTCCACGTTACAGAACCAGCATCAGCACGTTTGTTTCAAAGTTGTATTTTTCAAAATTTCTTGTTCAGATGGCTCCATATGGATGTAGACCGCAAATGGAGGTAAAGGAGATCCCATGGCTGCATCTTCTACTTATTCATAGTATTTCCCGCGAAAAAGAAAATAGGCTGACCTGACGCGTCTCGTTGTTATGTCCGTTTCCTTTTAGCTTCTCTTTTGTAATGGTCATCCTGTTAGGAACTGGAAAGTTGGTGAACAGAGACTCGACATCGAAGCTTACGAGGAGGTCACTGGGGTCGACCTGAAGATGTTTGATTTAATCTTGTTGTGTTTCCTACGAAGGGGACCAGTGTTTTAATATGCTGATGCTCCAATGGTGCTGACTATTGGCCGACGTAGTATTCCTGGCTTCTCGATTTTGAAAAGTCACAGACATTCACAGTTCATAAAAAGGAAGTACCCACAAACAGATAATTTTTAACTTTCAAGATTTTGGGTTAAAATACAGGTGTATTAGAACAGCTCAAACCCCAACAACAAAACACTACACAAAACGTTTGAAGTAGTACTTTTCGGTAACAAAAATTGTGATTATTACCGAAGAGAGATGCCAGTTTACTTGGCTCCCTGAAGAAAAGAATTATGTTGCCAAAAGGTACTTCAGACTTTTAGAGTAGTGCTTTGGCGTTGATGGTGTTTGAGTTGTTCTGTAGCGCTAAAGTTCATGTCTTCTTAAATGTTGCACAATTTATTTTAATGCGATCAATTAAAGAAATTTAGAAATCGTTATACTTAATATTCATACTTATGTAGTACATATTCTTGTATTGGTTACTTAATTATGACATAATTGTTAAAACCTAGGAGACTTTTGGCGTCACTTCAAGTTTAACGTTTTTGACAACTTTCAGATCACGAAGGTGAATAAATAGATCATACATACACATACTTGTGTGACTATTTTTGCCATTATTTTGACTGCTGTTGTTATATTTATTGTATATATTTATAATTCATATTTTTGCTCGCTATTTCTGCGAACAATGCACGTGTTCAACCTTGATTTTCCATACATACAATTCGTTTGGACACAATTCGCATCCCATAAACAGGTTGAATGCGTGGAGACAAAGGCATGGGACAAAGTAATTAATTGATCCTATTAGTGACGGGCATTAATAGAATAACAACCTCGAATAATAGAGGTAAAACAGAGACCCAAAAATAATTAGAGAATAAAGGCCAGATTGGTTTAAAAATGTTTTTTAATTGTTAAACCAATTTTTATAATAAAAAGTATTTTACTTCTCCCTGGTGTGGATTCGCGACATCATTGAATAGAGGGGAGAAGGTAAAGATAATGTAAATAGAAAATTGAATCTAAAGAAGTCACTGTCGGTGCAGAAATTAATCATTTAACTGTAATTTGTATGTTTTTGTATTTCTTGATTGAAGGGTAACTACAACAGCGAAAAAGACACTTATACTGGATTTCTTCCTTGTTTTAGAATAGTTTTTTGGATATCAAAGCCAAATCGAGGGCAAAACCAATTTACTATCGCAATCAACGTATTCGTTTTGCTTTTAATGTAAGTATGAGACATTTTTAGGGTTGACTATTAGTTAATTATTCTTAATAGAAGGCTTCGGATGAGGAAATAGTACACGTGCATTTTTATATTGGTCTTTGGTGATGTAAACAATATAAACATACGCTAATTTAAAAAAATTAATTATGTATTAATGAATAGAGTACCTAAATAATTAATGTAGGTGATGGTTAGGAATAGTGAAATAATAAGAGGTCAGGGTACTTAGGATGTATAGAGCTTGGATGTGGGAGCATTTGCGGGGAGATTCTATGCCAGGATATTTGAAAGGAATCAACGAAATCCTTGTTCTAGCAAGATTTAGAACGGGAATTGAATGTAGAGGATCTAAGTATTGGTTGAAGGAGGATGAAAGGTTATAAATGTATGCATATATTGGTTAATTGCGATGAAAATAAGAATTGAGATGATAAGTGAGTGCGAGTTTGATAAGTCATCATCATCATCATCATCATAAGGTCATCAGTCTTAAGACTGGTTGGACACGTACCTCCACTCTTTCCTATTCTGAGCTAAACTTCGCATTTCCCTAAAACTAGAACAGCCCACATCCTTAACTATTTGCGAACAGTAATCTAATCTAGGTCTACCTCTACCCCTCCTAACTCCTGTTTCTACCTCTAATATGTCTCTGACAATACCTTCATGCCTGAGAAGGTTCCCTACCAACCTATCTCGCCTATTTTTTATTGACTTCCATAGAGTCCTCTGTTCTCCTATTCTTTCCAATACCTCTTCATTTCTAACCTTTTCTACCCACGATATCCTCATCATCCGCCCATTTCGAACGCTTCTAACCTTTTCTTTTCCGCCGCTCCCACTGTCCATGTTTCGCACTCGTACAACGCCGTGCTCCAAACATCTCCAAACATACACCTTTAACAACCTTTTTCGAATTTCTAAATTAACCGTTCGCGAGCATAGAAGTGACTTCTTTTTATTAAAGGCGACACGACCCTGCGCTATCCTCTGCTTTATATCCCTACTACTCCTTCCATCCTCACTTATCTGACTTCCTAGGTATCTAAAATCAGCCACTTCTTCTAATTTTTCGTCTCCTATCTTTATATTCGCTCTTTCCCTACTTTTTCTTCCCTCGCAAATCAGTATTTTAGTTTTACTTTTATTTATTTTCATACAGTACTGATCTGTCAGTACCGCTTCCATTTTATTTAAAGCTAATAAGTAGTAAGTTGATAAGTATGTGTAATAAAAGAAAAAGAAGCATATTGGGGGGTAAAGAACAAAGGTTGGTAATGTGTTAGAATTTATTGTTATGTTATGAAGAAGGTTTAGTTAGAGTTGTAATGTTAATGTACTTGTAAATAACTTAAGGCTGAAATATTTATAATAAAAAAAAGTCACTTCTATGTTCGCGAGCGGTTAAACTGGAAATTCGAAAAAGGTTGTTAAAGGTGTAGAAATGAGGACGTATTAGAACAGGGGTCACTATGGAAGTGAGTAAGAATTAGGCGAGATATATTCGCAGATACGAAGGGCTAGTGAAAGACATATTGGAAGCAGAAACAGGAATTAAGTGAGGATATGGGTGTTCTAGTTTTAGGGAACTATGTGCCATGACGGGCTTACTGTAGTTTTTATCTTGAATTACACCTTTCTTCATACATGTTTAATATCTGGATAAAATCAACGAACCACCTAAAATGATTTTTACATTCGTTTTTCTCCGTATGTTCTATAAAATATACCACTTAATAATACTAATACAAACATTTTACAATACAATATCCAAGTCTTCTTCTGGGACTTCTTGCATAATATGACCAGAAATGCTAACAATAAGGAACTTTACTTCTACATCAGCTAACTCGAGAAATATTACCGGAAACCAACGTCAAATGGTAGATACGTCTTGCATTAATTTGTAGATATCGCATGTTCTCTCATTATTGATATTTTTGTTTAATTATACAAAATAATTAAGAAAACAGTCCATTTCGTCTTTCCACATTGTAAGTTATCATGAGAAGATTCCCGGCATTATGAAATGCAGTTTGTATTGTATTAGATCAAAAGAAAATTTACATGTACACAAATGCTTTTATTTGTTATCATAAGGATGAATATGCATTCAGATGTCTCACGAATGCTATGCGTTAATAAGTGTTATTGTATGCATAAGCATAAATTTTCTAACAAGATTTCAGCTGGTTTAATAGGTATTTTTGTTGTAATAACTGAAGAATGACATGTCAGTGTTATTATTTTAGTTTAATTTTAATATATTTTTTTTGCCGTTAGAAATAGATTTTTCGTTATTGAACATATTTTATTTTATTATGTTAGAAATTTCCATAATTTCAAATGTATACA